TGGTGGCATGCGCCTGTAGTCCCAGCTACTTGGGAGGCTGAGGCAGGAGAATTGCTTGAACCCGGGAGGCGGAGGTTGCAGTGAGCCGAGATCGCACCACTGCACTCCAGCCTGGTGCCTGGCAACAGAGCAAGACTCTATCTCAAAAAAAAAAGAAAGAAAAAAAAAGATACCTGCACTCTCATATTTATTACAGTGTTATTGTGTTATTTATAATTTTTAATGGGATATGTTTGGAAGTATATCCCACTAAAAGCCAAGATACGGAAACAACCTAAGTGTTTATTAATGGATGAATGGCTAAAGATGTTATACACATAGAGAAATATTACTCAGCCTTAGAAAAGAAGGAGATCCTGCCATCTGCCACATCATGGATGAATCTAGAGAACATTATGCTAAGTGAAATAAACTAGATATGGAAAGAAATATATTGCATGGTCTCACTTATATGTGCAATCTAAAAAAAGAAAGTCAAATATACAGAGATAGAGAATTAACAGTGGGTACTAGGGTCAAGGAACGGGGAGTGAGGAGAGGAAATGAAAATATGTAGTTCAGAAGATTTAAAGTTGCAAATATGTAGGATGAACAAGTCTAGAGACCTAATTAATGTACAACATAAAATTGTAATGTATTTGGGATTTCTGTTAAATGAGTAAATTTGAGCTGTTCTTGCCACAGAAACAAAACAAAAAGAAAGTAACAATGTGAGATGATGGATATGTTAATTTGTTTAATTATAGTAACCATTTTATTATCTATATGTATTACATTACATCATATCGTGTACCTTAAATATATACAATAAAATCAATTTTAAAAATAGAATAAAAATTAAAAATAATCACAATGTATTTTTCATTAGAAACTGTGCAAGCCAGAAGACAATAGAGTGGCATCTTTAAGGATGTGAAATAAAAATAAAAAGACTGGGCTCAGTGGCTCACACCTGTAATCCCAGCACTTTGGGAGGCAGACATGGATGGATCCCCTGAGGTCAGGAATTTGAGACCAGCCTGGCCAACATGGTGAAACCCCGAAATTAGCCAGGCATGGTGGTGCATGCCTATAATCCCAGCTACTCTAGAGGCTGAGGCAGAATTGCTTGAACCCCAGAAGTGGAGGTTGCAGTGAGCTGAGATTGCACCATCGCACTCCAGCCTGGTGACAAGAGTGAAACTCCATCTCAAAAAGAAAGAAAGAAAGAAAGAAAGAATAATTTAAAAAGCTGGGGCCAGACATGGTGGCTCACGCCTGTAATCCACTTTGGGAGGCCAAGGTGGGCGTATCACAAGGTCAGGAGTTTAACACCAGCCTGGCCAACATAGTGAAACCCCGTCTCTAATAAAAATACAAAAAATTAGCTGGGCGTGGTGGTGGTGGTGGTGGGGTGCCTGTAATCCCAGGTATTCAGGAGGCTGAGGCAGGAGAATTGCTGGAACCCAAGAGGCGGAGGTTGCAGTGAGCCATGATCATCCCATTGGACTCCAGCCTGGGCAACAGAGAAAAACTCCAGCTCAAAAAAAAAAAAAAAAAAAAAAGTTGTACACCCAGAATTTTACACCCATCCAAAATATTTTTCAAAAACAAAGCAAACTAAAGATTTTTTCAGATAAGCAAAAGCTGAAATAATTTATTGCCAGAACTGCAATAAATTATTAAAAATTGCTAAAGGAACTTCTTCAGGCAGAAGGAGTACGATATCAGATGGAAACCTGGAGCTATATAAAGAAATGAATAACCAAAATGAGAAAAATGATTGTAAATAAAAAAGACATATACACACACACACATATATATATATATATACATATATTTTTTTTTAACTGTTCTTTGAGATGGGTTCTCACTATGTTGCCCAGGCTGATCTTGAGCTCCTGAGCTCCAGCAGTCCTCCCACCTCAGCCTCCCAAAGTACTGGGATTACAGGCATGAGCCACTGTGCCCAGCCTAAAAGTATTTTTAATGAAAGAAGCTAAAAAGTTATAAAACCACAACTGCTGTTCAGCTTCACTAGAGAAGCTTGAAAAAAATAGTCAATAAAGAGTAAAGAAGTGAGATGAGAGATGGGCTAGAACTAACAGCACTCAACTGCTTTGTTCCAGGAACCCTTAAGACAAACACCATCCCTCTCTTTACCATGACTTTATTACATGAGCTTACAAATTCTCCTTTTCTTCTTAGGCTAGCATAAATTAAATGTGTGTCACTTTTAATTTGAACCAAAGATTGTTCAACTTTCCACCTTCTTTCATACGTAGTTGTAACAAAGACTGAGACTGAACTCTAACATTTTGAGTATTCAATAAAAGGAAACTGAAAAGGGGCCAAGCTAAGTTTTACATAGACCCAGAGATGATCCAGATGTTGAAACTATTGGACTATCAGACTTAACCTAAACTGGACATTGATTGCCTAAATATGACATTTTAAAAAAGATTTACAGAATGTACTGATTATAGATATTGTGTGCTTGTGTCTTGCTGGTTCCATAGAACCAGATCACATGCCTATGGGTTAATTTCTCTTCTGGTAATATACACCCCACCAACAATTATCTTGGGGAAAAGATATATTTTTGAACCAAAAAAAATAGAGAACATGGAGGATTTATGAGGATTTTAGAATAAAGTAGGAGGAAAAAAACAACCCTCCTTTTTGAAAGCAGAAGGCCAGTTTGGCCATGAACTCTTGGTTGTGGAGGTACCAGCAGTGATTCCAGAGAGAGGGTTTGAACTGACCTTCCTACTATGGAGGCAGTACATGAGGAGCCAAGAATTGGCCTTGTCAGGAAGAAACCCCAGGACAGATTTGGACTTGTGTGTTGGTTATAATCATTATTGTGTGACACTGCCATGATCCTCAAACCATTAGTCATATCCCATTAAAATTTATAGATGGATCCTCTGAGCCATGGTAAACTACACAATTTCTAAAATGTGTTTCCACTTTAGAAGACTGTCCCTTACCTTGAAGGTCTTACTGATGGTATCAGGTGTGTAATCTCCGAGAACCCTTCAGTCAGTGGCTCAGCCAGAATCTAATGAGAGTTGTAGGTAGCAGAGTCTGCAGGGTGGGAAGTTCATGGGGTAACTGCGTAGAAGATCATGAAGATCCTGTTCCTGAACACACATGAAGCAATACCCTGGATAATGCTCAGGAATTAATGAGGAGTGTACTTCCCTTCATTGAGTGTCCCTGAAAGCAGAACTTAAGATAGAGAAATGGATACAGGTAATTTATTTGAGAGATGATCCCAGGGAGCAAGAGGTAGGGGGAAGGCAGAGTAACACAGAGCAGATTCCTGTGTATAGCACAGTAAAATTTGATTTGAAACCATGTGTTTTCTTTTCTTTTCTTTTCTTTTTGAGACAGAGTCTCACTATGTCACCCAGGCTGGATTGTAATGGCACGATCTCGGCTCACTGCAACCTCCACCCCTTGGGTTCAAGCAATTTTCTTGCCTCAGCCTCCTGAGTAGCTAAGACTACAGGCACATGTCACCATGCCTGGATAATTTTTGTATTTTTAGTAGACACGGGGTTTCACCATGTTGGCCAGGCTGGTCTTGAACTACTGACCTCAATTGATCAGCCACCATGACTGGCTGGTTTTTTTCTTTCTTTTGCTCAGATCATTCTCCCCACTATCCAAGAGCAGGAAAAGAGCAGGAAAAGATTCAAGCACACACACACACACACACACACACACACACACACACGAATTGAATTTTTGCATTTTGAGCTTTCAAGTAGACTCTTGTAAGAGACAATAATCTTGAAGGTCATGGATTTCATCTTCACAAGCATGATGCTTAGAAAAAAGAGGCCGGGCACGGTGGCGCATGCCTGTAATCCCAGCTACTCAGGAGGCTGAGGCAGGAGAATTGCCTGAACCCAGGAGGCGGAGGTTGCGGTGAGCCGAGATCATGCCATTGCACTCCAGCCTGGGTAACAAGAGCGAAACTCCGTCTCAAAAAAAAAAAAAAAAAAAGTTAAAACTTTAATTTAAAAAAGAGAGAGAGAGAAAAGAATAAATACTGGGCTTTAAAAAATAAGGGCAAATTTCAGGGACTCGGAGCATAGAATTTTATCATAAAACTTTTGGATCAGCCAGGCGCAGTGGCTCATGCCTGTAATCCTGGCACTTTGGGAGGCCAAGGCGGGAAGATTGCTTGAGCCCAGGAGTTCAAGACCAGTTTGGGCAACATGGCAAAACCAAAACCTTGTCTCTACAAAAAATACAAAAATTAGCTGGGAGTGGTGGCATGTGCCTATAATCTCAACTATTTGGGAGGTTGAGGTTGGGGGATCTCTTGGGTCCAGGAGGTTGAGGTTGCAGTGAGCCATGACTGCACCACCGCACTACAGTCTGGGTGACAGAGCAAGATCCCTGTCCCAAAACAAAATAAGATTTAAAAATCCCACAAACTTTTGGATCAATCTGAGATCAGTGAAGGTGAATGTAAGAGCTATTTTGCTACCCAAAGAGAATAAGAATTTGACTGACTAGCATAGAAGGAAGAAGGGGACTCAGGTGGTACCTGAGTCCCTGGGAAGTTTCCTAAAATGATACCTGCTTGTGATGGGGTAAGAGGAGGCCCAGGGAAAGAAACCTCTGACAACCAGACCCAGGAACCTGGAAGATGCAAGCCTCATAAGAAAGCCAAGGGTCTAGTGTGGGATGTAAGAGGCAGTTGAATGGGAGGATGGGCCTGAGGGCGTCAGCCTCAGAATCCTACCCTCCCCAATGTGCTGGGGAAATTAAGTGAGAAATCCTGAGTATTCAAGGGTTTGGCACCTGGAAGTGTTAAATTTGGGCCATTGTTCTAAAAAGGGCTTGGGGTTAGCATAAGAGACTGCAGAATAAGTGAATGGTCTCATCCAGGGTCTTGCTCCCTTCCAAGGGCAACCCATATCCAATGGCTGATCAATATGGGGCTATAAAGACCCAGTCCTCTCACCCCAACTTGAGATGACTCTAATGGGTCATTCCAGTTTCAGATGGCGATATGATGGCAGCTGAGGTCTCCATTGACAGTGTGACACAAAGAAGACTCTCTAAGAAACCTCCTCCATGCTAATTACCGTCTGACTCTGCTTCCTGGGAAACCCAACCTGCAACAGTGTTTCAGCCTGCTTTGGGAATACAAGACTTTGTAAATGTAAGAATTTGGACTTCATTCTGAGGGCAATACGGAGTCATTGGAGGGTTTTAAGTAGGATGGGATGATATCAGCTTTGGGTATTAGATCCCTCAGTTACAGTGTAAAGAATGGATCCAAAAAGACTAGATTGGAGGCAGGAACACCACATGTGTAACAACTGACTTACACAATAGAAGGCAGTAATGTCATAAATTTGGAGATGTGACAATGGAGATGGAGATACGCTGAAAAATTCTAGAAATATTTAGGACGTTCAGACAAAAGAACTAATTGATTGTATGTGGGAGTGAAGGAGTAGGAAGGACCAGAGATGATGTCCAGGTTTCTGGATTGAGCAACTAGTGATGCCATAATTGGTCTCAGTTCAAGTCATGGCTCTTCAAAAAGTGAAGGAGGACCCTTCCTATTTGCTATAGCATCTAAGCAGTACTGTAAGTTGGTAAGGATCCTAATAGTTTCCTGGGTTCTGCATATGACAACTTTCTCCCACTCACTCCCGATAAGATGTGTTGCCAAGCATCAGCAGTCTACTGCCCCAGTTCTACCACCAGAGAAAAGTGGGAGAACTGGGCCCAACTATTTAAGCCTCCAAAGCATACATACAATTATTTACGCCCAGAAGAGAAAGCAAATGAAACATATGGGGAACTCATGGAGAAGCAATATGGTGTAGAGGTTAAAAGCATGCACTCTAGATTTCAACTATCTGAATTCAAATTCTAGTTCTACTAGTTATGACATACATCAGTTTGGGCAAATTAATTTCTCTGTGCCTCAGTTTTCCTTATCTGCAAAATATGGAACCTATCTTAAAGGATTATTGCAAATATCAGATAAATTAATACAAGTAAAATTCTTCTTTCTTTCTTTTTTTTATTGTGTATTTTCTTTCTTTCTTTTTTTCTTTTTTAGATGGGATCTCACTTCGTCACCCAGGCTGGAGTGTGGTGGTGCAATCTTGGATCATTGTAACCTCCATCTCCCAGGTTCACATGATTCTCCTGCCTCAGCTTCCTGAATAGCTGGAAGTAAAGGCGCCTGCCACCACACCCAGCTAATTTTTTTATTTTAGTAGAGATGAGGTTTCACCATGTTGGCCAGGCTGCTCTCAAACTCCTGACCTCAAGTGATCCACTCACCTTGGCCTCCCAAAGTGTTGGAATTACAGGCGTGAGCAACCATGCCCAGCCCTTTTCTTTTTTTTTTTGAGACAGGGTCTCCCTCTGTCACCCAGACTAAAGTGCAGTGGCACAATCATAGCTTACTGCAGCCTTGAACTCCCAGGCTCAAGCAATCCTCCCACTTCAGCCTCCCAAACAGCTAGGATGGTGCATGCTACCATCCCCAGCTAATTTTTTAAATTTTTGTAGAGATGAAGTCTTAGTATGTTACCCAGGGTGGTCTCAAACTCCTGATCTCAAGTGATCCTCCTGCCTCAGCCTCCCAAAGTGCTGCGATTACAAACATGAGCCACTGTGTCATGCCAGAAGTAAAATGCTTAAAACCTTGCCTAGCATCTAGCATAGGATAATCACTTAATAAATGTTATCTATTGCTATTCCAGTAGAATGTAAGCTCTTTAAAGATAAGAATTTGTCTTTTTTTTTTTTCTCGATGAAATCTCAATATCTGGAATAGGGCCTGGTGCTAAACAAAAGTTACATAATACATACTTGTTGGATGAATAATACCCTGGAGAAAAGAATACTGGTTGCCTACCTCAACACGGATTCTTCACTCCTTCCTTAGTAACAGAATCTGGATTTTTGTATAGGCATCTACCATCTGGAATTATGTTTTTCAGCTTTCCTTGCAGCCAGTTTCGGTCAATGAAATGTAATGTGGTCAACGAAATGTTTTGTAGAACTTTGATAAAGACCATGCAAAGAAAACAGCCTTATCTGGAAGTACCCTTATTGCTCTTCTGTCTTTTCTCCTCCTTCTGGCTGCAATTAAGATGAGATGGGTAAAGCTGCAGCTGCCATTTTGAACCACAAGGTTGGAAGCCATGTGCTTAGGTGGTGAATAGACATAGAATAGCTTAGGTTTATGCCTGTAATCCCAGCACTTTGAAAGGCCGAGGTGGGTGTATCACAAGATCAAGAGATTGAGACCATCCTGGCCAATATGGTGAAACTCTGTCTCTACTAAAAATACAAAAAAATTAGCTGGATGTGGTGGTGTGCACCTGTAGTCCCAGCTATTCTGGAGACTGAGGCAGGAGAATAGATTGAACCTGGGAGGTGGAGGTTGCAGTGAGCCGAGATCATGCCACTGCACTCTAGCCTGAGCAACAGAGTTTTTAAAAAAAAAAAAAAAAAGGGTAGTTTAAGTCCTTTCTGCTACCACAGAGCTGCTAAGCCAAGCCAGGAATACCTACTTCTTGATTTATTTTGCTTGACAGAGATAAACATTTCTGTATTTTTGAGCCACTATTGTTTTAGGGCTTTTGATTAAATACTGCCAAACTAATCCTAACTAATACATTTGCCATTGGATGATGTTAAACCACTAGCAATAAAGTCCTTTATTCAATCTCTGGGTTCCATACAGCAAGCTTTAAAAAAAAAGTTATATTTTTCCTCTAGTTGTTTCTTTTTTTTTTTTTAACTTTTATTTTATATTCAAAGGGTCACATGCAGGTTTGTTACCTGGGTATACTGCATGATCCTGTGCAGCAATTTTTAACTATGTTTTAGTGGGAGTAAGATAGGAGATCAGAGATGGAATAGACAAAGTAAAGAGATTTCCCATAGCTCTTAAGGATTGCTTCTTTTGTAACTTGCATTACAGGAAGACAATGATTATTTGATGCAATTAGTCAGGAAAGGTTGCAAAATAGCATTTTGAAAACCAATTAACAGAAGGTACGGTGGTATTTGGTGAAGTCTTCTGAGGAGGCCATTTTACCCTTTGTGACTTTCACAGAGGAGGCACACTTTGTGGGAATGGAAACCCATATATTAAATGCCCATAATGAATTAATAACCACCTGAAAGGTGGGTATTATTTGCTACATTTTGCAAATAAAGAAATGGTGACTACAGACATGTGACTGACTTGCCCTCATTCATAATGTAAATAAGTAGTGGAGCAGGATTTGAACCTGTATCTGTTGGACCCCAGAACCCTTGCTTTTCCCCTATACCCCTCATTCCACACAACTACATAAATGCATTCTCCAAGACCCAAGATCTGTGTTCCTCATCATGTGGCTAAAGATGGTCACCATACTTATTTCCTCTGGCATCATCTGCCCTTACTTTTCCATTTCCTGGCATTTAGGATACTTGAGGACCACTGCTTCAAATATGTGTTTATTTTTCACAGACTTTGTTTCAAACCATAGATTCTCATTCACAAGGTCACAGTGGTTCCTTAATACTTCTCCCAGCCACTCTGACTGGCTGGAGCCTGTCCTCCCAGTGCCAATAAAATGCAGGTGACTCAAATTGAGATGATGAGCAGCTCATTAGCTCAGCAGGAGAGAGTGGATGGTCCACATGGCCACACTCAGTTCTTCCCCTTCCCAGAGTTTTTCTCAGTTACCGAATATGACCTCAAGCTTGCTCCACCTCCTGTGTTCCCCTTCTCAGTGAATGTCCTCACCATCCCTCCTGTTGCTAAGCCGGAATCCCAATCACTCTTAACTCTTCCCTCTCCCTCATCTACCACATATAGGAAATACCAAATTTCCTTTTACTTACCCTTTATGTGTAAAATTCGCCCACCCCTTATCTTAGGCCACCACCATCTCTTACTGAGTGAGATAAATGCTAATTTTTCTCATCACTTCCAGTATGTTCTACAACTAAAGTGATCACACTAAAATGTAATACTCCCCCTTTTATTTGAACTTTTATTGAGGTATATCTTACACATAGTAAAGTCTTTAAATCTTAAATATGTGGTTTGATGCATTTTTAGATATATAAATCAGATCCAGATATAGAACATTTCTGGCACTCCAGAAAGCTTCCTTATGCCCCCATTTGAGTAATATTCACCCTCAAGGTAACTACAATTCTGACTTCTGTCTCTACAGACAGAGACAGAAGCCTAAAGATCTGTCTGTAGAGACAGAGCCTAAAGATCTATGACTTTAAAAATTTATGTAAGTGGAATCATACAGTATATTCTTTTGTGTATGACCTTTTCACTCTACATTTTTGTCTGTAGGCCGGATGCACCTGTAATCCCAGCACTTTGGGAGGCCAAAGTAGTTCAATACCAGCCTGGACAACATGGTGAAATCCAGTCTCTATTAAAAATATGAAAAATCACTGGGTGTGGTGGTTCACGCCTATAATCCCAGAACTTTGGGAGGCTGAGGCGGTTAGAACACAAGGTCAGGAGTTTGAGTCCAGACTGGCCAACATGGTAAAACCTCGTCTTTACTAAAAATACAACAATTAGCCAGGCGTGGTGGCGCGTGCCTGTAATCCCAGCTACTAGGGAGGCTGAGGCAGGAGAATTGCCTGAACCCAGGATGCGAAGGTTGCCTCCAGCCTGGGTGAGACTCCATCTCAAAAACAAACAAACAAAATGAAAAATTAGCCGGGTGTCGTGGCACATGTCGATAGTCCCAGCTACTCAGGAGGCTGCGGTGGAGGATTACCTGAGCCTGGGAGGCAGAGGTTTCAGTGAGCCAAGATCATGCCATTGCACTCTAGCATAGGCAACAGCATGTAGAAGTAGCTCATTTTTACAAATTGTTATGTAATATTTCATCCTATGAATACATCTCAGTTTTTTAATGCTTTTTCCATTGGTGGCTATTTGAGTTGTTTACAGATTTTTAGATGTTATGAACAAACCTGTCATAAACATTTTTGTGTAAATCTTGGTTGACTCAAGTGTTCATTCTGTTTGATATGGAAGCTTAAAGAAGAATTGCTGGGTCATACAGCATTTGTAGGTATTGTATATCAGAATTCCAGTTTACTCCATATCCTCATCAACTCTTGGAGTTGTCAGTCTTCTTAAGTTTAACTATTCTGGCGACTTCTAAAATCTTTCTATGATACTCTACCTGGATAAAGTCCAAACTCCATATACAGGGCCCTTCAAAATCAAACTTGCACTTACCTGTCCAGCTTCATATCTAATCACTACCCACCTTGAATTTTAAGCTATAGATATATGAGTGTACATACAGATCCTTGAGTATGATCCTCGGCCTCCCAAAGTGCTGGGACTAAAGGCGTCAGCCGCTGCGCCCCCTTTTTTTTTGTTATATGGCTTGGTTCTGTTGCTTTCTCTTGGCCTTTGCACTTACAATTTTCTTGTGTCTTGTC